ATAGACCCCTGATTAATAAAACCCGGTACCATAAGCGGAATCACAAATTGCAAAGGGGATCCGAATGTCAAGGCCCTGACAGAAAAGGGTGGGTTATGTTGAAATAATCAATGTCTACATGAATTGTGTTCATGGCTTACAGAACGCTTTCCCGCAGTAAGTAGCAGGGGATGTTGGGGTCAAACTTCTAATGGTTCCAAACCCTAAACTTGCCCTGACCCCTGAACTCTGGTGTTCGTGCTCCTGTAACTCCTGTACTGCATGCTTCGACAATATTGCAAGTGTTCTGGCTGTACATTTCTGGTGCGAGATGCGAGACATAAAGCGTGAGGGTAGCTCCGAGTTGAGCTGAACAGGCTCGGACTTGGGGGTTTTGATACAGTTCAGTATATGGGGACTATAAAGGCATACTCTTACTAGTAATAGGCCAAGACGTGTCCGCACAGTTCGGACCACAACGACTCGTGGCACTCGGCAGCGGAAGCTTGCCATCTGGATTCATGAACCCCGTTGATCTGGCTAGCCCGCGCTGACTAGTGACACAAACCAGCACCGGTTATGAAGATGGGGACAGCAGGAACATGTGAACATAGGAGCACGTGACATCGCTCCCTCGCACAGAAGTCCTGCGCTGAAACTAGATTCCTCGCGTTCGAAGTGGTCAGGCTTTCCCACAGTGGCCCCACCATCGTGTCAAAGTCTGTACTGCAAAACTCCGACAGGTACAAAGTTATCTGCAACCGAGTCAAAGAAGGAAGTCAATTTCAAGCTTTCCGGTCTGACGCATGAAACAACCTTTGCTTGTGCATGTCCACGGCTTCAGCTACTAAATACCTCTAGGCTCCGTTGTAGTTACTTTTAGGGTTCATATTTAACCTCCTAGAAGGTAATCCCAACAAGGAACTACTATGGAGCCTGCGGGTTGTCGATCATAGCCCAAAGGGCAATCTATCGCTTCGCAAGCTGGTCGTAAGCTTCACTCCTTCCAAGCAAACCCAGGTGCGATGCAGAGTACCAGGTCCGGAACATGGACTCCACCCACTTCCTGGGGCTCTAGCTTTGGAGGAACAGTTGTGTCTTCAAGATCCAATCCTGCAGATTGATCTAAGTGTTCATGCCGATCTGCCACGCAAGTGTCAGATCCAGATAGTGCGAACTTTAGTGCGATCTTCACGTGAAGCCAGAAGTGGCTGACCACGAACAATCAAGAACCCAGACCGAGAAAGCTAAGCAGTCTGCGACCTGCATGCTGTTGCTGGTAGAGAAATGCCCCTTGTGACTGGCTGGTCAGGCGCGGTAGGTGCAATCCAGGCTCTGAATCGTAACTTTGGAAATTGGTGTCGGGTTCTGCAAGCCAAGCAGCGGGCAATGCTCCCAGTATGGCATCGTTGACACCTCGTCCGAAATTACAGTGATCTGAAGACTTGCGGTGAGAACAGAACAGGTCCAAACCTGGACCCCAAAAGTATGCAGAATAATAGCCTTTATGGGTAGTGGGCCATTGTTTTACTTACTTTGGGCGGTTTAGGTAATGGTAATGCATGGACTTGCAGAACCCATATGCCGCCGACGCTGCATACTTAACAGTTTAACATCTCCCAGCCCTACAAACCTTGCCACTAGAGTAACCCCGTAGATCCCGTAATGAGAAACCTCGTGAAAGCCCATATTTCCCCAAAACATCGAGTCACTACAGCTTCAATTCCAGAGTCGGGTTTACAATAGATACAAAAAGGTTTGGCTATGGTAGTTTCAGGTACAAGCCGATGCAGAGGAGCGTCTACACCCCTTCTTAAAACCTTCATCCCACCCCCCGAAATTCCCAAAAAGCCGAGCCACTATAGAAACCCTATAAAATTACTATAGAACGCTTCGCAGGAAGCTTTGCAGAACCCGACATGCACCAAAAACCGAGCAACTAAGATCATCAGGGCTTATGACAGGAACCTTGGTAGTTTGAGGCTTAAGCTCTAAACCCTAACTACGCCCGAAATTCCCCAACTTCCGAGCCACTGAGGTCTCGTGGGTAATTATCACCGAACCCTTATTATAGAGCCCAGATGAGCCCAGCATCCTAAATTGAAAACTGAAACCTTAACCCTGACCCGAACACTAAAATTCCTGATGCAAACACAAACCCTACACCGAACCCTCAATTCCTCATACAAACGCCAAGACACTAAGGTCAAACTGAATCCGGAGTCCTAAGCCCTCAACTGAACCCTAAACTCCTCAGACAAACACCGAACCAGTAAGGTCTCGTGGGTAAATATCATCGAACCTGTATCCACAGAACCCTATAAATCCCCTAGACCAACACCAAGACACCAAGGTCTCGTGGGTGTCATCCCGGAGCCAGGCGGTCGCAAGATCCGCGAGCCTCATCTGAGCGAAGACGGAGAGCCTGAGCGGGAAAATTTAATGCAGGGGCCTTAGTAGAATAGTGTTCCTTTAAAGGGGTCTATAAGGGATCTGTAAGGGTAGCATAATGTAGGGGCCGTATTCCCTTATACTATAACTGTAATAAGGAACCACCAAAATTAAAATAGTATAGGTATTAGGACTCTACGGTTGTAGGGTTAGGCTTAGGGTTTTAGGGGTTCGGGATTCTAGGGGTTTCGGGCTCAGTGCTTTAGGCTTTCTAGGTTTAGGGGGCCTGGGCCTCTAGAGGGTTTTGGCTTTCGGCGTTTCCGGGTTCGGGCTTTAGAGACTGAAGATTTTGGGGTTATAGGGGTTGAGTCCTTGTGGAAACTATGCACTTATGCAAAAGAAAGCTTCGGAATGATATTGGCATGGTTTGCAACATGATTTCCAAAGGTTTCGAAGGGTTTCTGGGTCTAGGGGTTCAGGGGTCTAGAGATTGACGGTGGAGGGTTTAGGGTTTGTATTTATGGGATGTCGTTGGGATTTTTAAATTTAGGGCTCCAGGAAAACCTCGTCATTTAGGTTGAACCACAATGAGACACCTCATCATTTAGGTTGAACCACAATGAGACACACCCACTCTGAGACTGGAATGTTCCTGTTTGGAACCCCAGAGCCTAATGAAAGACTGCAGCCTCAAGCCAGCAATACAGTATGCAAGATGTGATCATATGAAAAAGGAAGGTCTTAAACATCTGCAATATGTATATAATTAAATATGTATGTAGGTAGGTAGGTGGGTAGGTATATGTATGCTTGTATATGCAAGAAGAACGTTATCAACTGCAGGGGCAGTGCCACGATGCACGAAGACACAGGTTTCATCTCTGGCTCTGTCGACTTGGGGTTCTGGGGTTTAGGGTTTAGGGGGCACTACGGTTTATGGGTTCAGGGGTTTAAGGTTCAGGGGTTTAGGGTTTAGGGGGAACTAGGGTTTCGGGGTTCTGGGTTTAGGGTTCGACGCCGTGGTGCTGGCACAGAGTCATCATTGCCCACCTGATGTGCGGCTTGGAGCGGGGGCTGAGTGAAGATCCGAGGAGGACGTCTTGTTTTCGTGTAAACCGAAGTGTTGCATGGCGTAGCTCCCGGATTCACATGCTCGCTAAACTGTATGGTGAAACATGTTGGATGATGCATGATGCCTCGCATACGTATGTGTTGGGCAGCGGGTCTTAAAACATTGAATCAGCTGCATTCGCTTGTGAAAAAGATCTCTGCCAACAGCCCGAGGCGCAGTGGCCAACCTGCCATTGCGTTGTAGCGATTGACGGTCCATGCGCACAAGAACCTTGGCTTCTTGCAGCTCTCCTGGACACAGAATACCTTTTCTCAGAGTTATATACTCCGAAAGAATCCTACGACACCCACCTCGTTGCAAGATCTCAGAATCGGAAAAGATGTTGGGAGCTGGACAACGAAAAGGCGCCGCGACCCGAACCATGAGCTCCAAACCCTACAGTGCCTACAGCAACGTAGGGGCTTTCAGTTTAGGATAGGTGTGCGTATAAGGTTTCATCTACACAGATTAGGGTTTATAGGGGTTGCTGTCATGTTAAGACCAGGGTTTCGTACAGAGGCCGGAATGAATTCTTCGACGAAGGTTAGGAGAGTAAACAACTAGTAGTTGCTATTATTTCAGTGTATGAAGATTAGCCTACTACTGCGATAGTCTTCTATGGTAGAGATAGTTGCTGTTATGTCAGTGTATGAAGAGTAGCCTACTACTGTGATAGTCTTCTATGGTAGAGATACACTGCAGGCCCCAAAACGGCAAGTTCCAAGCAACACGAAGACGAGGCGACTAACGAAGATCAGGTTGTGAGCACGCCTTGGCAGCCACTGGTCTTGGTTTTGGGCTTCGTCCCAGGGTTTAGGGTTTAGGGGTTTAGGGTTTAGGGTTTAGAGTTTCTTGTCTTGGGGCAGTCAGACATTGAGACAAAGGATTTTAGATACAAGCCAGATATAGGAGACTGAGCCCTGAATCTACAGTGAACCCAGTATTTTTAGATCATGATAGAGCACCGCCCAAGGAAGCGCAGAAGGGGTGTATAGGGCTTAGGGAATTGCAGGGTCGACTCGCACTTTTCCTGGTAGCTAAGATCGGTGAGGCGAAATGGCACGCGTTTGCGGCAGCGGGGCCTCCCTTTGAATTTAAAGGACCTCTCCTTGGGCGATACTGATGGGCGGCCCATGCCATAAACTGAGTGAGACATGCATGGCATGTTGCATTCTGCAAGGTGCATGCTCCAGAGTTGCATGTTTTTGAATTTACATAAAATGCCGTGCAAGTGCTTGGCAGCTTGCAGGCAGAACAAAACTTTGCTTCGAGCCAATGACCAGAAATACAAGAGTCCTAACACCGCCTGTCCATCTAAGGAAAACTCCTACATCAACCACTCAAGCAATCAGCTTTCAGCCATGATCATGGGTATTAACTAGGAGAAGCCATTCTCTGCGGTACATGCTAAAGCATGAACCCAAGGTTCTATACCTGCAGGATGGTTTCTCGCACCCAGAAAACCCATACTATCAAAAGCACCAAAAGCACAGAAGACTATCTAACATCTGCAGCCATCTTAGGCTAAGCCGATGAGGTCCGGCTCCCAAGCACCGGGCAACGCTGTGGCCGGCCGTCCTCGCGGCTTGGACGGCACCTCCGCGACCCAAGGAGGAGTGCGTGAACCTTGGGTTCAGGGTGCATCGTGAGGTGGCGCCATCTCGGCAAGGATACTCAGCCGCCGCGCGGAGAGACACACATCACAAACCCCCTCAAACCTGAACCCTATGACTCTGAACCCTGAGCTCTTATAAACAATACAGGCCTCATGCAGAGACGGAGGGAGGCTCAGTTCGCAGCACTAACGGTGGCTAAAGTTCCCAAAGGCTCCAGTATGATGGTATTAAGGCCAAAGTATACGCCATACTGTTATTACTTGGGCCCTTTGCGATTCTGTGTTTCGGCCTTTCAAGCGCTGTTCGGCTTCCTCAACCGCGTACCCGTGAACCCTGAACCCTAAACAATACACCCCGCATGTTAATTATCAACCCTCAACCCTGACATCCTCAACCCAAGAGCATGCGTAGAGTATAAAGGGCCGACAAGCCAAATTATTTCGCAGGGTTCATATGTTGGGCTTGCGGGCTTAGGGAAGCACGGGCACCCCAGACCCACAACCCTTAAGCATCCTGCAAAGCAACATGCACTCCGCCCAGAGTCCTGCAGCACATCATACTTTAAATTCTCCCGCAATATAACTTAAGCGATTTTCTTAAGTTTAGCACAGAGGGCACCCAACAAACAGTGACCGACTGGGCTGCCACCCAAGCGCAGCTGCCGGCTGGCGCGCGATGCTTCTCCAGGTAGCGCTTACGGAGGAAAGCAGCGTAGTCTCCATGCCAAGTGACAGGTCCTGCGGAGGTAAAGGCTTGGGTTTAGAGTAAGTAGGTGTCGATTTCAACAGTTCCTAACAATAGATAAGTATAGGATTCCACATTAAACAATAAGGGACATGAAAACTTAGTCCACATCGATAGTAAGAGTAGGGGCTGCAGCATTAACCAATCTAGCTCGAATCGAGCCTGCGTTCTCGGTCAATGGAGTGATCGTCAGCAGGTCTACTGCCAGCATCCAGGCAGCCTGAGAGCTCAACAAGAACCAGCAAACACGTGTTTATACCTTCGATGTAGTGCTACCTGAAATGATCTTAAACCCTTAACCCCAGTAAAGGAATCAAGAAAACTGGTATACATTGGAGTCACTGAGCCCGAGATCCTAAAATTCCGAGCCCTACGAGCCCCAGAGAGAGAGAGATAGGTCTTACACCCTACAAACGCAAGAAACCCTAAAAAACGCAACAGTTTGTTTCGCAATACCTGTAGTCCTACACCCCGCAAACCTAGAAGCTTCAAATCTTCCCTAAACCCTACCTTTACCCTGAAGAACCTACAACTTTAAGGACTTATATAAGGAAATCATAACAAGGAGCCATAAAAAAGGTAGGTTCTCCAGGGTTAAGGTAGGCCCTAAAGCCTGGGACACTAGAACCCCTTTCAAACCTTGGCAGCCTGTTCGTTGTCCATGTCAGGGCCGCAGTATCCACGTGCAGACCTGAGGGCTTCTCCTGAAACATCGCAGAGGCTATGATTACGTTGGGTTTAGGGTTTAGGGTTTAGGGGCCTTGATAATTTTTGGGATTTCTTTTTAGACGACCCGTTTCCGTTCGCCGAGGTCCAGAAAGCGGTGTACCTAATTTTTGGCTTTGGAATTTAGGGTTTCAAAGGGATGCAGAAAGGCTTGTATAAAGGCTTTCACGGTGTTCATCAGTGCTTTCTGAGGTTCCATCGGCTTCTGCATACGGGTTGGTTTCCACAATGTGTGCTGTGCTTATCACGGGGAATGTGGGGTAAGGGCTTCCCGTTCAGGTTTTCGGGTTCGAGCTTTCCATGCGCGTACCAAACCGAAAACCTGTACTCTCCTATTCCCAGCTTTATGGATAGGATGTTAGAATCAGGGTAACCAAAAAAGGCCTAAACCCTAAATCCCAAGCCGTTATTGAGCCCAGTGTCTGAGGGGCCGGAAGCCACCACCAGCCAGGGCAGCCTTAATAATCGCCTCCCGTTTGCGCCAGAGGTCCCAAAGAGAGCTGCTCGGGCCCACGGTGAGCCTTTCCTGGGCTGTACCTAAACCCCCCAAAGTAGGTAAAATAATGGCCCAATTCCTCTAAAAGGCTATTATTCTACATACTTTTGGGGTCCAGGTAGGCAAGAAGTAAGACTAAGAACTGGGAGTCTTTATGGGCACAAGCCATTACAAGCAAAATGGACCTCTAAATAGAATCCAACCCAAAACCCTGTAAGTCCCATGAGCACCATATCCTTACAACCCCAAACCCAAACCCCCAAACCCTAAACCCTAAATCCTTAACCCTACACCCTGAACAGCAAACCCTTAGAGCCGAACAAAAAGCCAAATGTCGTAGGCTTTCCGCACCAGCACTTCGCCAGCTGCCTGTGCTCTGCGGGCTCGACAGTCTTTCAGAGCCTGCAGAAGTTATGTAGGGGTTACCTGGACCCCCAAAAGGTATGTAGAATACTTGCCTTTTATGGGTATTGGGCCATTATTTTACTTACTTTGGGGGGTTTAGGTATAGGGTTTCTGTAGGGTTGTCTTGGGTTTGTTGTGTCGGGTGTTTTGGCGGCTTCTAGAGGGTTTGCTATGAGCTTTGGTTTACTGTTTTCGAGATTGGGTTCCTTTCAAGGTTCCTTTGTTGAGTTTGTAAGGGTTCTATGCGGGTTTAATCTTCTATAAGCGTCCCGATAAGGGTTCTTGAGAGTTTAGGGCCCAGGATTCAGGGCAGGATGCGAGGTTCATTATTTGTAAAAGAGGTTTGGGAATTAAGTACTTGTACATGTGGCCCTGAATAAACACCACAAAATAGCAAATGAAGGTACCACATCTAGGCTGTTCAGTTCCCCATTGGGAAGAAGCATGTACTTGTTAGGCTTCGTATTTAATAATAGGAACCCAGAAACCTGAAAGTAAAAAAGTGTACCACTGAACCGCCTGGACATGAATAGGCTAGGGTAGCACCTCCAAAATATTAAGTTGCTTGATCCGCTACGGTTTGGGATTCAAGGTTGCTTAAGACTTAAGATGTAGAGTTTCGAATGTAAGGTTGAAAAATCAGGAGTAAACCGCAAGCCGATCGAACCCTACACCACAAAACCCTGAAGATGGGATTGCAGGTGTAGAGTGAGGCTACGAGATAACCGAGCCCATCTCAAGCCAGATTCCAAACCCGATAAACTCCCCCATTACAGTTTTTAGTAAGTGCCAGTCACAGATAGCCTGCAGGTGCTGCGCTGAGCTTGTAAGCTTCGCGGCATCTTCTGCGGCACGCAGCTCCTCGGCGATCGGCTCACGAAAACGGAGCAGGGATAGTCAGAAGTTAGAACTGCTGCATAATGCAATATAGTACCTATGGAACCTTGGAATGACATTTCTATCTGTTCCGACCGATTAACAGTCGTTTAAGTCTCGTTCTCCCTGTTCCGACCATTTAACAGTCGTTTAAGTCTCGCTCCCCCAACGGCCCCGATACTGCTGGCATCCTCAAAGCTAGGACTTGTGAGAGGTCGCTCGTAGCACTAAACCCTACCTTAACCCGGAATAACCTACCTTTTTCAGGACTTCTATCAGGAAATCATAATAAGGAGCCCTAAAAAGGGTAGGTTATCCAGGGTTAAGGTAAACCATGGAACCTCCGAGGGCTCTTCTTCGGAGGTTCCCGCCGGGACCCACGGAGACGACCGTAGCACCTTTATAGTGTGGGGATTTAGCGCTTCAAGGCTTTATGAAAAGTTTTCAAGGGCGTCTCGGCGAGATATCCGTTGCCGATGCTGATTTGAACCCCACAAGCACCTCAAAGCCTGCTCGACCAGTCTGAACAACCAAGCCTCATCCTCGGTTTCACGCCGGTCATTTCCCATATCCCAGGCTTGCAGCTCTACCTGCAGAATGAACTTTGCAAGAAGGGGGCAGCACAGGGGCCGAGGGCTTGGGGCTTCGGGCTTAGGGGTCTGCTTGAAGGGTCATGCGACGAGGGTTTCGGCGCTCACACTCGGGCAATCCAGGCGAGGCATATGGATCGGAGTCTGACGAGAAGGGTTTAGGGTTTTGGGTTTAGGGCTAAGCAAGTCGCAAATTTAGAGGGTCAACAGCTTTACTGGTTTATCCTTATTTTGCCTACCCTCCGCTCACATACTTGGAATTCTCACCAGCCCGTAAGTAGGGTCTAAGGCGCATTCACGGAATAAGAATGTTGGGGTTCTCTTGAGCTCATGAAACCCTGTGAAAGAAAACTAAGTTACAAACCCAAAACCCCTTGGTACTATTGTGCACTCAGCGGTGTTGGGCGCCCCTAAACCGCCTAAGCCGTAAACCCACAACGTAGCTTGTCTGGAACAGCCATATAGGTTTGGTAGAGTTTAGGGTAGCCACCTGGCGGACGCTCCGCTGCTGCATGGTGTCTGCACCTGCCGGGATTAAGGCTTCGGCTCCGAGGTCGTTGAGTCCCAGGGTGCTCATGCCCGAAAGCCCTAAAGGGCCCCGAAGCCCGCAAACCCGAGATAATCCTGAACCCCAATCCAAAGCTTCGGCTAAACAACCCGAGGCTAGGGGGTTGTAGACATTCTTTCAAATCTTCAGAACCAGGAGTATCATTATAGTTTATAAATGTGGTTGCGTTCTCGCTCGGGCCTGTGCTTAGCGTTTGGGTATGGTTTGATATCTGCTGCAAACCCGGTCCCCGAACCCCTGGTCCCAAAACGCCCAATCACGGGAATTACACCCTAAATATTACACCCCAACACCTGAATTCCCTAAAGCCCCATCTAAACCCTACGAGCCCTCCAACCCTCTTCTAAAACCCCAAAACCCTAAACCACACCCCCTAAACCCTAAACCCTGAACCCCAAAACAAAGAAAACACGCCTGCCGCGTGAAGGCCGGACTTCCACAAGGTGATGGCAGCTTCTACTGCCCTTGTCGGCAGTGTCGCCACCATGGCAGCATAGTCAGTTCCTGGGCTGTAGGCTTTACCCATAGGCCCCATAGTAGTTCCTTGTTGTGGGATTGCCTTATAGGATTCTATATATGAACCCCAAAAAGGAACTACTTTGGGGCCTTTGGGGAGGGCTCTTTCTGTTTAGACGTCCCTTTCCAGGCTTTACGCTCTCACAACTCGGACATGCCAGGGGAGGATCCATGGGGGCGGGCCGGCGTGAAACTGGACTTACGGGCAAAAGAGGTCTCATTACATACATGAGTGGTTGTCAAAATTAGGGTCCCTTATTGGGTCCGTAATATAATAATACGGCACCGAATATTTAAGGACCCAAAAAGGGACCATAGTTTGACAACCACCCACATGCCTCTGCCAAACTCGAAAGAACAGACCAGCTATCGAGAAAGGTTAGACAAGCAGCATGAACTCTAAGGCATTGGCACCGGTGCTACGGCACTGTTTTAAGTGCGCTCGTTTCGGAAAAGGCTTTAGGGGTCAGGGCTTAGGCATCCAAGACTCTGCTTGAAGAGGCACGGCATAAACCAATATTGCTCGACTACGTTATTTTGCGGGCTGTAGATGCCGAAAACAGGCCGTTGTTTAGCACTTCTTGTAGCATGTCAAGATACGACTTAAAAAACCGTCTGAAACGAAAGATGTTGGACTAATCGCAAACCCCTGTAGGCCAAGGGGCGCTCGAGCCATCCCAGCGCCTCTGCAAAATCTGCGGAGCCGAATCGATGCCAAAGAGCTAGGCTCATGAGGCCTAAGTTGGCATCATTCGGACAAGCGCTTAGGGTGATATGATACTGCAGCAGCAATCGTAGTCGTAGCCGTCGTCGTCGTCGTCGGCAGGTGTAGTGGCAGCAGGAGCGGTCGCCGCAGCCGTACTTCCGATTCCGGCATCGATGAGTCGGTTCGGGCTCAGGACGTCGAAATCTGTACATGATCCCCCCAAAGTGAGATAACCCCCCCGCCTGATAATCACAACACTTTTGGAGTTTCTACTGGAGCCGTTCACTCTTAATTAGTGGGATGGGGTTAACAATTATCACTGCGATGTACACGCATATCGCAAGGTTCCAGACAGTGTGGTTGGTTCGAGTGCCTTATGATATGAAGCCCCTGGGTCTCTGGCGGTAGGGTTTAGGGTTTGGGGTTTAGGGTAGGGTTTGGGGTTTGGGCTTCAGGTCGAGGTTCTTACCCTACACGGAACCCCTTGAGCAGTGCGACCCGAAATCTTTCAACTCGTGTACTTTCCATTCACTGCGAGGCGGTAGTGACGACAGTGCGGTCTTGAACCTTAAATCCCAAACCCAAAACCTTAATTCTAATCCGCTAGACCAAACCTTGAACCTTCAACCCGAACTAGCTTGTCCGACCCCGATGCTCGACTAGCCGTGGGGCAACTTCCGGCGAAATCGATGGCTGCCTGCTGCTTGGCTGGCTCCTGCAGCCTGAGTATACGCACGTGGATGGATGATGATAGGACTTAGGGTTTAGGGCCTATCAGGGCGTACCCGAAGGGCCCTGAGTTACTGCATAGTAAACGGTAGGGCTGCTATACCACTGATGACTATCACGGCTTGTGTAGTTATCCCGTATACGGATGCGTAGAACCCATTGGATCAGTGCATCGCTTCTATGCGGATGATACATGCCCCAATCGCGGTTATCCCAATCATGCAGTCTCCGAGCCCTACGCATTCTACACTCAAGTCAAACTCAAGCCTTAAGTTGCCAATGTTATGACTATGATTAGGGTTATTGTGATAATTACGACTGTTCTTGTTGTTCGGTTTGGTTTAGGGCTTAGTGGTTTAGGGTTTGGTTTAGGGTTGAAGGGTGTAGGAATCAGGGTGATACGTTGCGCATTTCGATCTCTACCGGATGGAACCCCGCGTCCTCAACTGCTTCGAAGCCCCAAACCCTCAGCCCTATAGACCCTTAAACACCTGACCTAAACCTGATAAGTACGCCGTGCGACAGATCCACAAGTCGTCCCGACAGCGCCTGTCGTTCCATGGCACCTGCAGTCCGGAACGCAAGCAATGCTGACGCAGGGCCGAGTTTGGGGCATGGGACTTCGATTATTACTTGCTCGATGCTCTATACATTAGAGCATTCGGGCTGCACCCGTATGAAGCACTTTTCGAAGCCCTCTCGTTGGCTGTGTAAGTGCATGAAGGCCGTTGAGTCGGGTTAGCGACCTGTTGGAAGATTCAGAGCTTCAGAGTTTCGGGGTTTTGAGGGCTGGAGATGCTAGACGGTTTAGGGTTCAGGGTGTAGGCCTTAGGGTTTAGGGGTTTGGGCTTTAAGGTTTAGGGTTTAGGATTTGGGGTTTAGGGTTTATGGCCCTAAAGACATGATTCCATCAATTCAGTGCAGCAGCCTCGCGCACCGCGGGTGCACAAGCCCAGAGCTCTGAAACTTCACGCTTAACCATTCCTACTGTTGATGATAAAACCCTGCATTACTTCAAGGACCTAAACTATGGGAATAATGGCATATTCCTGATTATGGGTAATGCAGGAGTCATATCATCAACCGCAGGGCCCTGATCCAGGGAGAAGTTGGTGGAGCTCTTCCCCTGGATCTTTGCGTTTTCAGCGGTGAAGAGCCATGGGCTACTGCATGCAGCTGTGACCCCTAAACTGAAGCTCAAGGCCTGGTCCTAAACCCCAAATCAAACCTTCACCCTAAATCCTACTGAACCCCACCTTAACTCTGAATGTCCTACCTTTTTAGGGCTCCTTATTATGATTTCCTTATATAAGTCCTTAAAAAGGTAGGTTCTTCAGGGTTAAGGCAAAGCCCAATGACTAAGAAACTTAATTCATTCCCAGAGCTTTCGAGCTTCTGCACATTAGGGCATGTAGAGAGCGAACTTGCTTGACGGTCTTGGGAAAAGCCCCAGAACCCGACAAGTCTGGGAATCCTTCTCATGATGTCCTGCTGACAGGGTAGGCTTTTGTTTTTTTTGAAGGAAACGCTTTAAGTTAAGAGTTGAGAGCTGGGAGGGCTAAATAATTGCAAGGTTGTGGATACAGGCTTTGAACACATTTCACGGATTTAGGGCTTCTTGTCGCTCAGGTGAAGCAAATACTCTAGGCTTTCAGGGACCCTGGTGCAATGAATATCTCAGGTACAGTGTATGTGCCTGTAACTATCCTTTATAGGGCGCCTATACTAAGTAGGTGGGACACCAAAGGGCCCTCCGACATAGGTTGCCAGTGGCCTCGAAATTCTGAGCATGTACAACCTTATAAGAAACCCAGATCCTCGAGCTCTAAACTCCAACCTGGACCCCAAAATTATGTAGAATAACAGCCTTTTAGGGGAAGTGGGCCATTATCTTACCTAGTTTGGAGGGTTTATGTAGTGCCCAAAACCCGAAAGCCCTACGTCCGGAAAAGCCTTGAACCAAACGCCGTAGCCGCTCCGCATCGTTGAGCCGCTTCGGGGGAGGTTTCGCAGCGTCGCGGCCAAGGATGTCGCTGGCCCAATCCTAGGCGGTCTTCTCTTACTTGTGCAGGATTTGCAGGATCCGTGGAACTAACCGTTAACCCGACCTTAAACCCTAAAACCCTGAAGCCCTAAAACCCTATACCCTAAACCCTAAAACCCTAAGCCCTCAACCCTAAAGCCCTGACCCGACGGGGTGAAGATCAAGGGCCCAGCGCTCCCGTCCAGTCTCACTGCTTCTTAGGGCGGCAAAAGCAAAGCCCCTCTACCTTGATGGCACACCGAAAAAGTTACAAAACAGCTGCCTGGTGTGTGTGTGTGTGTGCTTGAAAATGCAGCGGCCTACACCCCGAAGGGTGGCTTGCTGTACCAACAAGATAGTTACCTGCTGGATGCCCACTTAGAAGTGTTGAGATGCCCTCATATCCTAAAAGGTTGGATCCTTGTGATTGCAAGCATCGGGCCCTGCAAGAAGCCCGAAACCTCTGGGTAGCCTCCTTGAGCCCGAAGCCTCAACAGTTCCGACAGAACCCTATAAGACCATGCAGGCCACCCCCAATTAGGGTCCCTTCGGCATCCTTACAAGAAGAGCCGTACAAGCGAAGCGACCATAATTTAGACAGCTACCCATATACTAACACGTGTAATACCCATCGGACCAAGAGCCATAAACCCACGAATGCCTATAAACCTTGACCCCCAAAAATCCTCCCGCCTGTCCTAAAAACCTATGGGGTTTGGGGGTTTCGGGTTCCGCCCAAAACTCTAAACCTTGAACACCCGACAAGTCTGGCTGAGAAGTGGCAGGAGCGCCTTCCTCGGCTTTTCCCAGGGCGGTGGGGAGGTTTCTTGGCCGAGGGCTCCTGGATTTCGAGCCGCTGGGGTTACTAAAGTTCGGGCTATGGGTGCTTGAAGGGATTTTCCTGGTTGTTGTCCGGGCTTTCGTGAGAGTGTAAAAGGGCTGAAAAGGTTGCCGGTTTAGGGCTTGAGGTTTACTACTTACTGTTTCAGGGTTCTGTAAGAGTTTCACAACGATCCTGGACGACTTCTTTAACAATTCTAGGGGTTTGGAGTTCGCCAAACGACCCATGCACCGTTCAAAGTCTCTCATTCTCCAGTAGGGGCTCGCCAGTGGCTGCAGAAGAGTGGAATTGGCGAGTCTAGGATTAGGATTTGCTGGAATTTGGAGGTTTCCTTTGGGGTTTGGACTGCAAGGTTTAAAGTAGAAGCCAGAAAGTTGGAACATCACTATCCTCATACCCTTGTGGAAATATGCATAGGGAATCCCCGCACAAATCATCCTAAACCCATATTCCAACTTTCTGAAGTTTACTGTTTGTCTTGTAAAAGACTTGACAAGAGCCTCTAAGTAAACCCTTGGCCCTGAACCCCAAACCCCAAACCCAGCTACAAAGCCTGATCTGCAAGCCTTACGGACATCAAAGCACCATATACAAACTTGACAACCTCGGTGTGAAACAACCTTTTTTTGCGCAGAGACTGCAAAGACCCTAAACCCTGAACCCTGTTCACAGCCCGAAACCGGAAACCCCTAAACCCTAAACCCTCTGTCTCTCTCTCTCTCTCTCTCTCTCTCTCTCTCTCTCCCAGGCATTCGAACCGTCAAGCCCGGGAAACCCCTAAACCCTAAACCCCTAAACCCCAAAACCCTAAACCCCTAAACCCTATAAACCCTAAAACCCTAAAACCCTAAAACCTAAAACCCTGAAACCCTAAAACCCTAAACCCTAAACCCCTAAACCCTAAACCCAAGGCACCAGAGTGGTGGGAAGCGAGGCGACTTGCTCGCCTTCCGCGGCCCCGAGAGCGGCATGGCTCGACCAGAGGTTGGCTGAATCGAGCTTACGAGGTTTAGGGCTTCGGGTGGGGCATGGGAGTTTCCGAAAATAGGGGACCCTAATATAGTACCCTGAATAGTAGGATCCTGATCATACCCTTTTCGGAAACTCCCGTATAGAGTTAGGGGTTTGCAAGACCCTTAGGGTTGGAGTTTATGGTTTACCTGGACCCCCAAAAAAGTGTGTGTGGAAAAGTGGCCGTGTATAGGTGTTGCTTCCATTTTTGCCGACTTTTGCTACTTAAACCTCTGGTCTTCGGATTATCAGCTGGAGATAGTGGCTCTGAAACCGGAACCATCGTGGCCAAGTTTGGGCTTGGGGCAAGAAGCCCATATGGCAGTTCCGTCACTCATTCCCCTTTAGACGCTGCGGCATGGACGGACGAACGCCGAATTCAGGGCACAAGGCTGCGTATTTGTGGAGTCGCACAACAGGCTCTTCGAGGTCTGGGTTCAGGGTATAGCGGACTTCGGCACGGTACGTAGGGTTACAAGTCTCCAATACGCTTCATTATATTCTTGTTCACAACTTGAACAGGAACGGTCTCTCTCCCTCTCTCTCTCTCTCTCTCTATGTATATACATACATAATGACATAATACATGCATTATTTCTCGCAACCCGTACCCAGATCTGCACAGCCCTGAAACCCAGAACAGTCGCCCCTCACCGGAAGCCCAGCATTCCTTACACAACTCATGTACAACCTTACAAACTCCTGTACAGCAACAAAAACCGTGCAAAACCCGAAAACAAACGAACACCCATAGGAACATTCCCAAAAAATCCTAGGTACTGTTATGGGGGATGCTTCCCCAAACCGTCGTAGTAGCTCCGAATATCGAAACCCTACATTCTACTATATGGGTACTCAGGACTGCATAGGAGCATTTCTGAGTCCGGGCACCATTCCTGCCAAATCATCGGCCCCGAGAGTGGCCGGTTCTTAGGCCTCAGCCAATGGTTTCGAAGTTAGGCTTGAACTTGGGGGTTTAGGGGTTTGGGGGTTTAGGGGTTTAAGGGTTTAGGGTTCAGGGTTTAGGGGTTTAGTGTATTAGCTAGGTGGTTGCCAATATTGGGGTCCCATTTTGGGTCCTTATGCAAATACGGGGCCCTAATTTTGACAACCACCCAACTGGGTTTCCCAGTCTCCCCTTTACAGTGAGGGTACCATGTTTCCCGGTCTTCAGTTTCAATGGAACCCTAAAGTAACAAGGCAAAAGGGCACTACTGGGGAACTAGGTTAAGGGTTAAGCTCCGTGTATGGCGGAGGGGGAGTGTTCCTTTCACAGTGCTCTCCCATCCTAAACCCTAGACCCTAAACCATCTCTCTCTCTCTCTCTCTCTCTTCTTCCCCGGGGCATGAGGGGAGTGCGAAACCCCTCGGCCTTAAAGGCCCCCCCGATGTTTGTTTTGGGGCTTGTGGAGGGGTGTGAAAGCATTTGTGATGGTTTCCCCCTGGCAGTATGCAGTTTGTGTCACGGAAAGCAAATCGTACCATTGAATTAACTTTGCCAGGAGTTCAACCTATCATTGCGAAAGTGTGTTGGCAAGTCCCCGGGGCTCTTTCTCAGCGAATCAACAACAACATGTAAACAGAAGTAGGTAGCTAACGACAGTATATTGTCTCTCTCTCTCTCCCTCCCTCTCTCTCTCCCTCTCTCTCTCTCTCTCTCTCTCTCTCTCTCTCTCTCTCTCTCTCTCTCTCTCTCTCTCTCTCTCTCTCTCTCTCTCTCTCTCTCTCTCCCTCCCAGGCATTCGAAACCCTCTAGACCCTAAACCCCTAAACCCTGAACCCTAAACCCCTAAAGCCTAAACCCCTAGAGCCTAAACGGTAGAGTCGCCTTTGTGAGCCAGCTCTTAGGGTCTGAACCAACACAAGCCAACAAAAACAGGGTTTTGGTGTTTTTGGTTTAAGGGTTTAGGGCTTTTGGTTTAAGGGTTTAGGGTTTTTGGTTTAAGGGTTTCGGCGCTCACACTCGGACAATCCAGGCGAGGCATATGAGTTCGCGTCTGCAAAGTGAGACTGCACTAAGAGGCTCCGTCAAGATATGTCAGCAACAGAACCTATCAACACTTAAAGTGACTGTGTCCTCCAACGAAACCTCTCCTTAGAGTCCCGTTTCGAAACATTGCTGATCATTGGACTCTAAGGTGGCATATTCGGACAGATCGTTGGGGGTGGGCTCAGGTAAAAACTATCGATCACAGCAGGAATACAGAGCCAATAAAGGATCTGGGTCGGGACGACCCGGGTAGTTAACGACCTGTTGTTGGAACATGAGTTCCATATTGTCATACCAGTCAGCGTGTTACCGACTTGTCACTATGAATTACTTGCATACAAAGGTTGTGAGACTACGGAATACGTGGAGCTACATGCAAGTGAAAGAATATACAGTCGGACTTGGATCATCTGGTTAACCTATAGACCTTGGAATATTCCTAAACTGCAGCGCCTATCGAGTACAAGACCTCATGATTCGGCAGACCGATTGCATGCATATGAATTCCAGGCTTGCAACCCTCAACGTACAGCTCAGGTTCACCACTGGCTCGACCAAATTGAATACCGTGCGCACGCATTGTACTCAATGTGGTCCACCATACGGTGGTGTGCAGTTGGCACCATTTGCAGAGCAGCCGAGAACAGCGCTAATGACAAAGGTAGGTCAAGTTCACCACCTGTTGCTTTACTGAGCGGCATGCACATGCAACATATTCTCCCACTGGCTTCTGTTCGTCCATCTGCAGTACCAATTGAACGGTCCATGCACCATGCATCGCAGGTCTCCATCCCCGCGCTGTTTTTTTTTTTGACCTGTCCATTCATTGCGACTTGGTGGGCAGCCAGGGGCACACTTGTCAGAAAACATGCAGAGCCCCAATGGAGTCGCCGCCTTTGTAGCCCCTCGGTCGATGCCATCCGTATGTTTGAACTCCAGAAAACATGCACGGTCAGTGACGTTCGGCATCTGAGGCTGAGGTCGTACAGTGCTGTTCCATGTCAGCAAGCATGCAGTACGTAGTTCATTCGGCATGCAGAGCAGATCACGAAGCCAGATGGTAGACCATGCAGTGTGACATGTGGCAGCGGAGGCCATGCAGCGGAATATTGAATTCAGAAAGCATCATCGTCCGGCATTATATTCAGCGTTGTACGCTATTGCCAGCCATACGGGGATAGCCAATCTCAGGCCCATGTGTGCCAAGCGCAGGCGCGGGTTAGTGGTTTCTAGGGTGCAAGCCCCAAAAGCAGAGTAGGGCAACCAGCCTACCTGTAATATGAAAAGTTCAAACCTCATAGTGAAGGAGATCATTCTGTGCCCATAATGAAGCTACACGATAATGGACCTATGGGGGCCCTGTAGAACGTGGACCCATGGGGCTAGGGAACAGGGATAAAACATGTTAAAGTAGGGGATGTAGAGGTAGGAGTTACAAGGATGGGGGTGCACGAAGTCACAATAGTCACAATAGATAGACAGGATGACAGGAGTAGAGACTGGAGTTGGACAACATGGAGGCAGGTGCATACGAGACAAGACGACAAGAGTAACCCCAAGGAAAACCCTTTGGTTAGCCAGCACTCCGTGGAACGTATATTGCACACATTCCTGCTTTTGATGGTTTTAGCCGCCTGCGGCCGCATCTGAAGGCCAGGGGAGGGTGGCTTGGGAGTCGGAGGTATAGGAATCTACCTGTGTAGGGCGGTGTTTCTTATTAGTGTGTGTTCCTAATTCCACGGTAGATACAGGTGAGCGAGGGCTGTTCTCATTCTCACTATCACTGAGTACAAGAGTTAAAGGAAACCCCTGTTTCAGTTTGCCTACACCCCAGATTCCTGTGGCCCCAGATCGTGGAAGATCTGTTAGTGTGGTCTGACGTAGTTGTCCTGGTCCCATAAGTACCCGTGTATAGAAGTCGACCTCCAGGCTATCTGGGGTGATAAACCCTAGATTACCTAACGCTTCATCGAGCGGTCTAGGGATACTAATAGATCCCATAACCGTGAAAGCGACTGCCACTACACGCCTGTGTTCCCAATCTTCCGTAGCATGCAATAACCGTTTCCCCGTGAAGATCAGTGGGTCGCCTGATGAAAAGCTGTGCAGGGTGCCTTGAAGCACGCCACCCATATATGTTTTCTGGGTTGTTCCTGTTGGCGATTCAACCCAGATCTCCCCGCCAACAAATGCAGTTAAGGGTATGACGGCTTGAGGATAGTGGGAGTTTCTTAGGTCCCGATGTAACCCGTTACCCGCAGAATCCCGGATCGTAATGGTGGAAAACTTATGGTTAGGGATGAGGAGTTTGAACAGACTACTCAGTTGGCTAGCAAGATACTGTAGGGGAGCTGTCGCTACACAGAGGCGTGAAAGATCTCTGGGATTAAGACCTAAAGTAAGTGTGTGCCCTGAACCTTCTGCCAGTTTGTATTTGGCGGGAGCGCTGTCGAATGCTTGCAAGATATGTTGTTTCAGTTGCAGAATCTGTTGGGCCTTGCTAGGTACACAAGTGGGGGCGTCCATATTTCGACTAGGGCAGCACTCCTGAGCCATAGTTGCTGGGACTACGGTGGGATACTCCATTCGGTTTGTGTACTAGCATGTTGCAATCCAGGGGATAACAAAGGGAAGTCGGGCTCGGGGTGTGATGTGGGGTCAGGGTCAGGAAGAGGTGGTATGAAAGTTCGTGCAACTTCCACAGCTACTTCATACACTTGGCGTTCCATCCATACTACCCAGTCATGTACTTCCTCCTTTGTATGGGTCCGTATCCCTTCTGCAATAGGATCAGCTGATGTGTCAAGCCAGTACGGGGCACATTCCATAATAGCATTATGAACAACTACAATCCCATCAAGAGGATACGTGTTTCTCTTCTGTGCAAAACGGGAGTACAACGAGTCTGCAGCTATCCTAGACACTCCCAATGGCATGTTTCGAAGCTCACACCGCAAGGACTGCATGAGT